CTATCTTAGCCTCACTGAGCTTTGTCTAACGTAGTAGAGTTCTACACTTGTGCCCATACAAGGCCTTATACAGAGCCATATTTGTTGTTGTATGCAAACTCCACTGACGGCAAGTGGTCCTCTCAACTAACCTCAAGATCTATGATGGTGCACCCAAGCGTGTCCTTTAAGATTTGGATGACACGTTCTGACTGGTCGTCTGTCTAAGGGTGGAAAGTGGTACTGAAGTTTAGTTTGGTGCCTAAGGATTCATGGAGGGCTTTCCAAAAGTAAGAAGTAAATCGAGGATCTTTGTTGTATATAATAGAAATCGGTAGCCCGTGCAACCTCAATATCTCATGAATGTACAACTGAGCTAACCTCTCTAAGATTAATCCATCCAGACTATGAGAAAATAGGCTAATTTGGTTAAACGGTCAATTATGACCCAAACAGTGTCATGTCTCTATCTGGTCATGGGTAACCCGGTCACAAAGTACATGATTACTCTGTCCCATTTCCATTGAGGAATCTAAATAGGCTAAAGTAAACCTGAAGGAACCTAGTGTTCTTCCTTAACCTGCTGATACATTAATCATCAAACTACAAACTCTGACCCTTTCCTTTTCATGCTTGGCCACCAAAGCAAATGTCAAAGTTCCTAGTAAATCTTGTTACTACCTGGATGGACTGAGAGTGGACTGTAGTGTGCCTCATGGAAGATTTTACTATGCAATAGAATGCCTGCGGGTACACACAACAGACCAACAAAGTACAATACATCCCCATCATGTAACTCAAAACATGTTGTTTCACCTTGGTAAACCTACTCAACTCAATCCTTTAACCGATCTTCTAAACTATGTAATCTCTTGGTCTTGCCTACTAACTAAGTCTCAATTCGTAATTCAACTAACAATCCACTTTCACTGGACAAACTAAACCGTGTTAGGAGAACTCGTAACTCTAACATTGACTTTCTGCTCAAGGTGTTTTACTACTTATTGTCTTCTTTCGAATTCATGAATCGTTTTAATCTTTTGAAGAGCTTGGTCATGTTTTCATCTTCATCCACCTCTTCATCATTGGTGGATTTGAGATTCTCACCTCCTTCTTTTTCGTGTTATTCTCTTATTTTTTTTCTTCTTTTGGAGTCTCACCTCATGAGTGAGTAATGATCCGATGAGCTCATCGAGGGTGTACAACTGCAAATCCTTGGCTTCTTCAATAGCAGTTGTTTTGCCTTCTCAAGATGTAGGCAATGAGGAAAATATCTTTCTTACTACTTCTTCATTGGGATATACCTTCTCAAAATTATTCAACTCATTGATTATTGAAGTGAACCGATCAGACATCACCTTTATGTCTTCATCGGGCTTCATCTTGAAGTTCTTGTAGTTGAGAGTGAAAATGTCAATCTTGGACTTCTTGACTTGATTTGTTCCTTCATTGGCCACCTCCAACATGTCCCATATCTCTTTAGCATTAGAACATGAAGATATTATATTATATCCGTCCAAGCTAAGTACACAAAAGAGAATATGCATGGCTTTAGTGTTGAGTTGGGTGAGCTTTTTGTCTTCATTGGTTCATTCCGATCGATTTATTTAAGGGTTAGGAGAACCATTGACGATTGCATCCCAAATATCAAGATTGGTGGCTTGGATGAACAAACTCTCATTATTATTCCAATAGGAGTAGTTGGCACTATTAAAGTAAGAAGGCCTCTTGATGGAGTGAGAGTCCTTGAGGTAGTATGAGCCGGAAGTCATAAACATTTTCTTGATTGTGTTAAAAATTGATAAAGCTTCTTTAAAGACTGTCTCAAGAGGTTGTAAGACCTTCAAATGAGTCGAGATTTGATACCAATTATTGAGATTTGGGGCTATATGAATTAACCAAAAAATGGCCAAGAAGGGGTAAATTGGCTTTTTGAAAATTTGGGAATTAAGGAAAGAGGATAGGAAAGATTTGCCCAACGATTTATAGTAGTTCAACTTCCCAAATGAAGTATGCATCCACTACCTTAGCTCCTCACTAAGGATTTCTAACAAATTCACTAATTTGTTCTTTCTTTTTCTAGGCTCAAGAGTAATCTTTACTAATTCTATTTTTTTCAATGGCTAAGATAGAACCAAACCCCTTTTATAAAAGATTACAATTGTGTAAACAAGAAAACCTCTATAAGGTATACAATTTAAACTCACTAGAAACACTCTATTTACAAGAGACAAGGAAAAATAAGATTGAAAGATATTTTCTCTTGATATAGATTGCTTGGATAGGTGTTGTGTCATTCTTCAAGTGTCCTCAACTCTGTTTTATATATTGGAATGTGTTTGTGACCGTTTCTAGCCATTGGGAACTTAATTGTTGCAAAAATAAAACTGGCCAAAGTAAGGAATATCGGTACTCATGATACGAGTATCGATACTGCCCTAATAAATTTTAAATAAACTAGCCGTTAAAGATCATTGGGCTACAACAATATGGTACTAAATTCGTGGTATTGATACTACTATACAAAGTAGTATCAATATTCCTTTGAGTATCGGTACCAAAAATGCCTACTAGAATCTAAACACCTTTGAAAACAACAGGCAGTATCAGTACTACCATATGAGTATCGATACTTCTCTTGCATTTGGTATCGATACTGTAAGAACAATATCGGTACTGTTCAAATGATATTGATACTGTAAGAACAGTCTCGGTACTATTTTGCCAGAAAATTGTTTTATGTTCAAATTATTGTTAAATGGTTTTTGAATTATTTTTGAAAACTTTGAATAAATTCAATCAAGCCCAAAAACATTTTTCTCTTAATTTGTTATATTAAAATAGGTCCAACTAGTACTCATAGGAGTGTCGATACTGAGGGTAGAGTATCGTTATTCTCAATGAGGGTATCGATACTAGATTAATTTTTAAAACATCGAGGCAAATTTTGGTTTCGATACTCAAGGTAGTATCAATACCCCAGTAGAGGAGTATCGATACTCTAATCAATACCCCAGTAGAGGAGTATCGATACTTTAGCTAGAGTATCGATACTCCTAGCTAAAGTATCGATACTACCTATTTCTCTCAAAATCTAGTATTCATTTTTGGTATCGATACCAAGGGTGGGTATCGGTACTCAAGGGTTAGTTTCAATAATGAAGGGCTCAATATCAGTACATTCGTCCTAGAATGGATAAAAAAACCCAATTTGATTCAAGTGTACAAGAAGGGAACTAAGAGTCGTTAGGACATCTCTAATAAAACTACAAGTGAGAATTGTAATTAATGCGGTTATAGCCAGAAACGATACCAGCTAGGATGACATAAAACTAGCCCTTGTTTGATACTCGGGAAATATTGAGGACACCTGAGTTACTTGAATGCATGAATGTTTGCTTACTGGTTGTGAATCGAGATATCCTTATATTCTCTTATTAATGCTGAGGCACTTTAGTATCAATGCAAATGCACTTTAGTATCAGTGTAGTGACACTTTAGTATTAGTGGTGAGACACTTTTGTTATACGATAGCAGAGCCACGATATATGTATACGTAGTGATACACTCATGCATTTTGATTTTTTTTCTCGATATCTTGCTATGACTTATTCTTGACGCAATTTGTTATCGCATGACTGAACTTGTTAGCTTTCTCAACTAATATATGCATGTAGTATAATAGAGTTATCTTTATGGCACTGAGCTTGTAGCTAAGCGTTCGGAATTTATTTCTGCTAGCAGGTCAGTAGGTGTCGATTTGGGAACTTATCGTCAGATTGTGGATTCCAAATATCAACAAGCTATAAAGTATGCCTCGGTTATTTTAGTAGGCATGTATTTCATAGACCTTATGTAGAATTGAGTTGCAGCTCTTTTGACAAACTTTGATGTATTTCGAGAATTTATTTTGGGAGTTCCCCTGTTTGTAAACTCAACTATTATGTTTTACTTTGCAACTTCAATGAACGGTTTTTATTTATGAATTTAACATGTTTTAAAGAAAACTTTTGGGTTAGCCACTCCGATGGTCCCATGTAATGTCCAAACCTTCCGAACTTCGGGTAGGATCAGATTTGGGTGTTTACAGAAGGATTAAAAAAAATTAATTTATTAAAAGTAAGACAAAATTGAGATAATATGTAAATAACAGGGACCAAATGTGTGATTATACTAAAATATTTAACAATAATTAACTCTTGGTGACCACATCCTAATTAAATAAAGACAAAGGGACCATATATTATGTTTTTTTAAATTAGTGAGGAAAAGTGGATAAAACACAAACATAAGTGATCAATCATGAAGTTAACCCTAATAATTTTAAGTAGAAAGAATCATTGGTAGAAGTTAAACATGGTGAAGAAGTGATCAATTTCTTTTAAGATTAAAGTCTTAATTTAAGGGTATGAATTCTAATATTATAAATGGAATAAATTGAATAAAAATAATTTTTATATAATATATATATATATATATATATATATATATATATATAATGTTTGATTTAGATTAATCGATCAAAATACATTATTAGAGAAAAAAATATGAAAAGTGAAAGAACAAAAAGGAGAGTTTGCATGAAAAGGGCAATGTTTGTCCCAAGAATTGTAAGCATGATTTGTGGCATTCCACCACTTTGTTTTACGGGTTTCTTACACTGGAACTATCAGACACCATGGCCCCATACATCTCTCTTTGTTTCTTTGTCATCTTCCTTCCTTTCCTATTCCACGACCTCTTTTCTTTCTTTCTTTTCATTTCTGTTTCTCTACATATAATGAATGTCATTATCTGATACGCGTCCAAGTTATTAATACTAAATTGAGTATTACTTCTAATTCTTAAGTCAAACCTTGATCTCAATCCTAAACCTTATCCTCAAAAATGATTAACTTGAATAACTAAAATAGTGAATAAAAATTTAATTTAGAAATCGACCCACCTTAAAAATGATTGTGTCAATTCTTTATTTTTCAAATGAAGTTTAATAGTTATGACAAAAGAACAACTACCACCACTACTCCAAAAAGCTGTCTCTTCATTTCCCATAAATTACACCTTTCGGACACCCGTATCTAACGTATTCGGATACAGATACGGACACGGGATATGATTCTTTAAATATATAGAAAAATTGCATATCTATACTCGTACTCACCCTCGAATCCGAGTACCGTAGGCAAAAGGACTACCATGTAACATTTCAATAAGGAACTGCTACAGCTTTCACTTCAGAAGTACTTCAAAACTCACGTTTATAACAAGTTGCAGGACTGTGGATGATCAGATCTAAAGTTACCGGTTGAATGCTCTCTCCTCCTAAACCGAGTCCCGATATGATATCTCACTGTGAAAACTTCGAGATCAATTTGTCGACGTGATAGATGATATCATCTATGCAAGGGCGAACAGTAGGCTGGGGCTGAAGCATCCAAGTTACGAATTGGTGAAGTGCTTCAGGATACAGCGGTTTAGGTCCGGCTGGCCATTTAATCTGTGCATTTATAATGGCCAGTTGCAGGCTTCCTCCAGATTCCCCAAGAGCATACTCGAATGGGGATACCCCATACCTGCAACAAATGACAACGGAAGATATAAATAGATTAAAAGAACGCTAACCGCATATGTCAGAATGGTTAGATACAGAGTACATATCCGAAGATAAATTAAAGCATCTGATTAAAGTATATATCCTGTAACTGATTTAACTTGTGTAGGGATAGCATCATACTAATTTGACACAGCAGCAACTGATTAGAAAAAAAAAACTTCAACATTCTTTTTACCAACATGAACAGGCAACTTACGAAAAATACGAAGACCTGCGACTTTAAAACCAAATACTTAAAATATACTCCCGAGATTTAGCCAGAAGGGAAATTCCAGTCATAAAGGCTTCAAACAATTCTTTTACTATATTGTTTGAGAATGTACAACAACAAAAGAGGTTTAAACGAAAGAAAACACTGTATAAGTATTGATTCTTACATTATCGCATATAAAGTGCACCCCAACGACCAAATATCAGTTCGCTCATCAATATCTGCATGGCTTGGGCAATCCCACAACTCAGGAGCTCGGAAAGGTGCTGCACAGTGCTCAGATGCCCATTCCTATATATGGAAACCAAAAACGACCATGATCATTGTAGAAGATGCATTAAGCTGTGATAGACAGAGATGAATATTATTTCAAATTTCAGCAGAAAATATAAGGATGACAACCATAAGCCAATGCAGTAAATTATTATAGCATTTAAAATCAAGAATTTTTTTAGCATATTTTATGAAGATAACTAAACGCATCATACAGATAAGCCAATTATGTACTTAACAAGACATGCATGTTTGTTGGAAGAACATGAAGCATACAGATTTAAGGAACTAGATGAGCTTGGGTTATTTTCAGCAAAGATGAAAAGGAAGTTTCAAAGAACAGAATCTAAGAAAAGTCTTCAGTACCGAAGAAAAATAGAGGAGAAATAAGCACCTGAAGCTGTAGTGCCTCAGAACAAGAGCGAATTTGCTTCCTTGCAGGACGAGCACTCCCAAAATCCATTAATATAGCAAGAGGTGATTCCCCTTTTCTGCGGGTTATAAGAACATTACCAGGCTTGACATCATTATGTGCATATGGTGGTTCGAGATTGTGCATATGTTGGAGTCCGGCACACAGCTGTGGAAATAATTAGGGACAGTCAAAATGCTTATAGCCATTTCTAATCAGTTATGGCATTGATGAATCCGAAAAGAAAACACCACAACGGACACATAGCAAGAGAAAATAGAAGAATGCATTGGATCCACTGATGATAAGTTCCACATGGTTATCAATTAAATCTGTATGAGAAATGGTTCACAAGTAAGATAGTTTTACTTACCTGCCGAAATATTTCAAGAACATCCGAGGTAGAAAAGAATTCGTTTTTAGCACTCATGGCTTTGGAATTGTCCAGCAATGTTCCATCCAAATGAACAGGAAATAGTAAATATGCTTCGTGATTCCATGATCCTTGTTGTGTAGGCTAGCCAATTGAATCAAATTGTTTCAGATGAATACAATTGCATGAAAAGTGATTTACTGAAAGAATAATGCATCTTGAAGAACAGTTTCTTTTACACTGTATACTACAAAGAGATTTGAATAATTACCTTAACAGAAATGATAGCATGATCAAGAAGGGGAAGCAGATTACGGTGATTAAACAAGGATGAAACACGGATCTCCTCTCGAACCAATTCTAACTGTTCATTATTCTGAATGAGAACCTTCTTCATTGCATAAGTTCCACCATCTACAAATGCAACCCGAGAATATTCATTCCAAAACCAGATTAATTTTCTCTAAGATCTAATGAAACACAAACACATTAAAATCTGGAAGATGGCATAGAAAATCCATTTAAGATAAGATGATAAGGGGAAAATGCAAAAATATGAAATCTGATAGGAAAAAAATCAAACCTTCACAAAACTGAAAACATGATTGACTAGTGTTTAAGTATGAAATTCTAGTCAAATGCCTTAGTTTTACCAACAGAATAGAGATCAAAGATTCAACTGAACCGAAATTGTAATTATGAATCCAATTTTCTCAGATTCCATATTCAATTGTCTGATCAATAAGTCAAACAAACCCAGAATTTTACCGTGAAAATTCATTGGAAGTAACATAGAAGGTTTCAATGTGCAGTTGACACATGAATTCAGTTAAATCTCCACCCATTGATTCAAACTAATTAGAAACACAAAGCAATGACGAATTAAGATTGAAAGGGAGATCCAATGGAGAAACACCCAAATCATGATACCAGAGAGATGAGAAGGGTATTTGACTTTGTTGGCTAAGCCACCTGCTGAAGCAGAGGAAGAATCGGGGATGGATTCCTTAACCAGATAAACGTAAGCGAAGCCACCTTCACCCAACTGCCTCACGATCTTGAACCTGTTTTCGTTGATCCAAACGTCACCTCCCACGTTCGTGGAGTCGTATAACGCATTCAGCCCTGAAAATGTACACCCCATTGTTTACCCTTTTGCTTTTCAAACTCTGAGAACATAAAAAAAAATCCCTTTTTACACCATCAAAGATCTCATTTTTGGGCTGTTAGAATTGAGAAACGTGAAAATGTCGGATCTTAATAAGCTCTCTCTCTCTCTCTCTGGGACATTTATTTTTAGTTAATAGATTTCACCATTTACAGCTTTCATTTGCATGCCAACCGTAAGTTAATTTTATTAATTTCGGTGGTTTATTTTAGATTTATAGTTTATCTATACTAATTATATTATATTTATATTCAACACTTAATTCTTAATAAATATCAAATAAATTTATTATTTGAATCCAAACCTTATTTAATTCAATAATAAAAAATTAGTATTTAATTTTTATTTTTCAATTCATCAAACAATATTTAAATTATTCTTTCTTTAAAATATAATTAAATTATTAACGTGAATAAAACCAAAATGTTTTTTTAATATAATTATAATTAAAAATTTCTCAGAAAACATATTACATGTACACATTGGTTTATGTTCTTAATTTAAAAATGCATACAATTTTATCAATAATCTTGTCTAAATCCCATAATTTTTCTACACCGTTTTCTACGAGTAATATTTTAATTTAGATCACTTTTTTTGTAAAGTACTAATATTCTAATTTTTTTTAGTAAAAATACAATATTCCTCGTTAAACTTTCCACTCTCTTATTTCATTTATTGTATTTAGGGATGTAAAAAGCTGACTCGACTTGTAAAACTAACTGAAATCGACTCGAGTCAAAACTATTTTTGACATGCGTTGCGGCGATCCGAAACCAACTCGAGTCAGAACTGGTGTTGACCTGAACCCGACCTGCACCTGACCTGAGAATGACATGAACTCAAATTGAACCGAAAATATTATACCCGAACCTGACCTGCATCCGACTGATATGAACCCGAACCCAAGATTGACCTAATAATAACTGGTATTACCCGACTTATTTTCAACCTTACCTTTTATGAACCTGACCTGTAAATGATCCGACTTGTTATTGACATGATATGATATTTACCTGACTTGACATTTACCTGACTATATATTATTATTGATGAAATTATAAGATTTTAATAAAACTGTGAGATTTTAAGTTTATAATAAATCATACTAATTAATATGATTATTTTTAAATGTTATAATAAAATATTAATTATGATAATTAAATTAATAAATAGACTTATTATATTAATTATGATTCTTCTGTTATAAATTTTTAATATAATCATTAATTTTATTTTATTAAGTAATCTATATTGAACAATATTAATTAAATTAATTATAATGATTACAAGTTAGAGTAATTTATTAGCATTGAACATGATCAATAACATTATTTTAAATGTAAATTATATAGTTTAATTATGCAAAGAAAATTTATCTAACAATTATAATTTATGGATTGTTATGTTAGTGTCGTGAACTACTATATTATATTGTAATGATCAACAATTCAATATTCGATTTCATGGGTCAAAAGGTTAAACTAATTTTTTCCCTCAATTTAAAAAATACATTGAATATAAAATAAATTAAAAGATTATATTATTTTTTTTAAAATTAAATATCTTATATACCGTTAAGTTAAAAATTAAATATTATTACATGTTTTCTTTTTATATTTATAATTTGTAGTCTATAAATATATTCAAAAGTTTTATTAAATTAATAACTTGGTATTGATAAAATTAATAAAAAATAATTCTTTAAAATTTAAAACATAGGGAAAATAAAAGAGGCAAAATAAGGAGGACCATATGGTCTTTTGCTTTCAAAACATGGGATTGGCGCTATTTGATCAATTATACGCTCAATTTTAAATTTTTTAACCATTTGGGATTTTGGAATAATTTATATTTTAAATTTTGAAATGTGAAAAGAAGGAATCTAGAGGCGAGTGATTTGGAGCCAACTGATTTCGACTTTATTTTCAAGTTTTGAGTTGGCATAATTGGAAAAATAATTGTTTAAATTATATTATTTATTAGTTTTATATATTTAAATAATTTTTATTTAAAGTATGTATCTAACGTTTTTAATATTACTTTTTTAAATTTTTGATCCGTCACGACTGTTAAAAAAATGTTAGTTAACACGTGTATAATGTATGTATAACTTATTAATGCATAATGTACGTATGCATAATGTATGTATGCATAATTAATAATATATAATGTATATTGTATGAATTGATATATAAGTATAATGTGTGTATAATTTATTAATGTATAATGTATGTATGTATGTGTGTATTTATGTATAATTAATTAGTGTATAATATATGTAGTGGTGGATTAAGAAATATTTTTCAAGTTCAATACATATGTATTAATAACAAATTTTTAGTGTATACTATATAATTTATATATACTAATGAACTATATACTATATAGTTTATATAAACTAATGAACTATATAATTTATATGTACTATATAATTTATATATAATAATGAACTATATAATATATAATTTATATATACCATATAGTTTATATATACTAATGAATTATATAGTTTATTAGTATAATTATATAAATTATATAAGCTGTGCAATATATATATATATATATATATATATGTTTTATTAATATATATATATATATATATATATATATTGCATGGTTTATATACATATATAAAATTATAAATACAAATTATATAGTTTATATATATTATATTAATATATACTTTATATATATATCTATTAATATATTATAATTGATATTTTTTTTTTTACTTTTGAAATGAATGTAATTTAATCTATTTTTCATATTTGCTTCACATTTTATAATTATTTTGATTTCATCTTTTTGTGTTCTTTACTTTATTTAAATTTTAATTCATTTATTTTCATATTTATTCAATTTAGTCATTAAATCTATAGTTGCATCTGAATTTGGTCCATTCTTATTTCTTATTTATATTTTTGTAATTAGCCCATAACTTTTTAAATGAGTATAATTTAATCATTTTCTATATTAATTTCAATGTCACATTTTAAATTTATTTAAATTTTTATTTGCAATTTCATATTTGTTCAATTTAGTCATTAATTTTATATTTTTCATAAAATTGATCCATGGTTATTTATATTCTTAGTAATTTACTCTAAATCATATATAATTACAAAATGCAATTCAACATTCGCGAAAGAAAAAAAATAATTAATCCAAAAATAAAATTGACTTGATCTGAACCCGATTTGTATCTGATAAATATCTGACCTGAATTTTATCTACCAATGATGTGACCCGATATGAACGAGATTCGCCTGAAGTCCATCCGAACTTGAATTAACCTAGTCTTTAATTGCTTCGGACCTGAACTGACATCAATCTGAACTGAAAGTAACCATACCTAAACCTGAACTGAACATGATGTCAAATCAGCCTGAAAATGACCCGTCCTGATTTGATTTGGACCGAACTTGATCCGAGTTGAAGTACCAAATTGACCTGACTTGACTTGTATCATATTTTATCCGACCTGACAGGATCCGACTGAAACCTAAATGATTACCTGGTTTTACATTCCTAATTGTATTTTTGTTTTTCTAATTTATTCACTAAACTTTCGAATGGTTCTTATTTTAATCATTCTATATTATTTTATTATTATTTTAATACAACATGATTTTTTATTATTTAATATAAAAATAATTTAAAATATTAAATAAAAAATGTGGTCGTCCACTATTCGTCGACATTAAAAGCCACCGTCAACAATTATAGATGGTGACCCTTCGATCCCATATTTTATTAGTCACTTCATCTCGACCCCTTAAGATCGAATTTGATCTCTATTTTGTTGGAACATGCTCCAAATCTGATAAAAAAATATATTGAAACGTTGATCGTCATCGACCACTGTAGATGATGATCATTCGGTCTCATATTTCATGGGTCGCTTCTCCTCGATCCTTGAGTTCAAATCTGACCTCTATTTATCGAAATATTGTTGGGACTTATAAAGCTCAAATTGACAACCGAAAATATTGTCAAGAGGGGGTGAATTGGCTATTTGATAATTTTAGAGAGTAAGGAGTAAAAAGAGATAGAAAATTAGTGCACATCGATTTATAGTGGTTCGACTTTCTCAACCAAAGTCTACATCCACTACCAAAGTTCCTCACATAAAATTTTCCAACAAATCCACTAATTTATTTTTTTTCAAGGACAAAAAGATAACTTTTACAAACTCTCTATATTTTCAATGGTTAATATAGAACCAAAACCCCTTTCAAAAGGATAAAAGAAGTAAACAATAAAATCTCTACGAGGTAGGGTGTTTACAAATTAAAACTCACAAGAACAAAAATATTTACAAGAGAAATTAAAATTGGAATGAAAAACTCTTCTATTGTGTTTGATTTATTGGATAAGTGTTCTAACCATTCTTCAAGTGTCTTGAACTTGTATTTATATGTTAGAATAAGGTTGTGGCCGTTGCTAGCCGTTGGGGATGATTTCTAATCGTTTAGGGATGTTTTCTCTGTAAAAATAAATAGCCCAGGATATGGAGTATCGGTACTTCCTTTAATATATTTAAATAAAACTAGCCGATACTAGCCATTGAGCCTGACGGTATCGATACTGTGACCATGGTATCGATACTTCTTTGGGTATCAGTGCCTATTTTGCATTCTGGAATTTGAGCAAACTGGTAGTATCGATACTACCTATAGAGTATTAATATTTTTCTTACATATGGTATCGATACCACATGAACAGTTTCGGTATTATTCATATAGTATTGATACTGTAAGAACAATATTAGTACTTTGTACGTGAAAAACTTGTTTTTGCTCAAATTATAGTTTGTTGCACTTTGAATTATTTTTGAAAACTTTAAATAATATTCAATTTAGGTCCAAAAATATTTACCTTAATTTGTTATATCAAAATATTATAAAACATAGTTCAACAAATATCTCTGAAGATCTCAAATAGGAGATTGAAAGTAAAGAAATCGAAGTGTTATAGTTGAGATTCACGGGTTTTGTGGCATTTTTGGTGAAACAATCACCAGATCCGGACTCATGCAGTCGAGACGAAACGACCCATAATATTTTAGAACGAACGACTGTCGATTTTGAAGGCCGACAGTGATTGACGATGGATATTG